ACAGGGAGAAATATTTGGGCATATTCTGTGTTACATTATTGGCATTCTTTCTTCAATCTACTCTACAACCCCTCCCTGGGCAATCTCATACATTAACACCTCTTAAATTTATGTCTCCAGCCCTAACCTCTCTTGTGAACTCCAGACCTGTATATTCAACTGCCTATTCAACATCTGCACTTGGATGTCTCAAAGGCACATCAAGCTAAACATGTCCAAAACGAAATTCATCTCCCCCTTGATCTGATTCTCCTCTAATGTTCTTTGTCTCAGTGAATAGAGCCACTAGACCCTTGTTCAAACCAGAATCCAGTAAGTCATTCTAGATTCTTCCTTCTTACCCCACTTATCCAAGTCATCAAGTAATGCTAACTTTATCTCCTAAATCTATCTCGAATTATTTACTTCTCTTTATCCCTACCCACTACCACTCGATGGGATGGTGTTAAGTCTAGGGTATTATCATTTTTCTCCTGAACCACTTCCATAGCCTCTTAACTGGTCTCCCTGCATCCACTCTTGCCCCTCTTCAATCCCTCCTCCACACTGCTACCAGAGTTCTTATCTTCTCTATGCTTAAAGTTAAAAATCTATAACATTGCCCACAAGGCCCTGCATGTTGTTGTCCTTGTCAACCTTTCCAGCCTTCTGGAGACTTCTCTTCACTCACTGTGCTTCTTCAAGTGTGCCAAGTTTATTTGACCTCAGAATCTCTGTACATGCTGTTCTTTCTATGGAATGTTTGCTCTATTCTCTCCTTTTACTCCTCCATTAGATTTTAGCTTAGATACCATCTCAGTAGAGTCTTCCTTGACACTCTAGGCCAGTCTAGGCAGCATGCCCTCCACTTTGTATGTACCCAAGCACCCTATACTTCTCCTTTGTAACATAGTATTCTTGTAATTATATGATTGGAGATGTCCATCCCCTAGGCTGTAACTTTCACCAGGGCATAGAGTGTGTTCTGTTTTCACTGGTAGCACACACAGTAGGTGCTGAATAAATGTTGAAAGAATGAATGAATATAGGTACTTATCATCTTGACCAGATTGTAGATTTTATGATTGCAAATTTTAGATCCCCACAGAGCCTAGCTCAGTATGCTGTGTAATCTGTCTCTCTTACTCTCTAACGTGTGTATGTATAATTTAATCAACAAATAGTTGATGTGAAAAATGAATTGAAATTCCTGGAATTACTCAAGTTACTCTTCAAAACCTCCTCACCTATATCTATTATGTGCATTTCCTTCTCCTACTCTACATATGTCCCACATTTTTGTCTCCTTTTTCTACGAGGACAATAATTCATTCTTTGTGGCTAGAGGAAGCTTCTCTAGCCAGTAATTCTCTCCCTTTTAATGCCATTGCACTTATTAAAGAGCACAAATGAAATAGCTGTGTACAGTTAGAACACTATACAATTTTAAATAAGAGCACTATTTTTACCTAAGAGGAGGTGTTCTCATTTCTAGGAGGGGAAAGATCACAATCATGTATATGAAGAACTGGCATTGACTGTGAACATTAAGTCAAATGATCAAAGGATTAGAATTTGCATTGTGGGTTGATAATTCATGTATATTTCTGCCTCTTCCCTTCTTCCATGTAAATTAAAGCTGCAGGATCTGCCTTTGTGTAAACTTCCCTACAGTCTGTTAAATATGTGTTGCTGCAACTATAAAATGATTTTAATAGATGGCAGAATTCTGCTTATTTGTTCTGAATTTCGGCACAGGGAGTAATTAATAACCTATAGAGCTCAATAGTTTTTTGCAGAACTTGGAGTGTAATGGAATGAATAACTCTGGAGTATCTATTCAGTGCTCAGAAAGCAAAGCACTTTTTGAAATGAGTACTAAACTAGGAGTCCAAAGACTGGCAGTGTACTCTTGGCCTCTGTGTAACCATGAATGTCTCCCCAATCTCTCTGTGCTAACGTCCTCTTTTGTGAAACAGACTTCATAATACTTCCACTCATTACTCACAGGGTTGCTGTGAGGAACAAATGAAGAAAGTACGAAATGGAAGATACATAAATAAAAATATCCCACATGTTGGGGAATGTTGCAAGATATTGGTACTTCAGATACCTCATCTCACTCTCACCTCAGGTCACTTTCATTGGCAGCTGGTAGTCATTACCCATTTTTCACATCTTACTACTAAAGAAACAAACACACCAATAAGGTGGCAAGTGGGGAGAAAATAAAAGTTGGGAGGTTGGCGACTAAGAAAAAATAATGACACCTCAGAATTATAAATCCCACAAATTTGTAATTGTTACAATTTATATTGGGATGAAGAGACTAATACTCTTTATATTCTTCAGACAATATATAGCTGTTATCAGCAAACCAAACAGAATTTATTTTACAGGGAACAAAAATGACATGCTAAATATTAATTCAAATATTATATTTCACATACACAATATGAATCTATTTCAAGTATTAATGATTTTAAACAAAAGAAACCCAATTTTCTCTTCCACACAATTTTGTTAAAAAAAAGTGCTTCTTTTGTACAAATGCAGGAGAATAAGACGTATTACTAAATATAACTACTTAATTGCGTTAAATGGACCCCTTTTACCTACTTAGTAAGCATGGTGGGGTCTGCAGCCATCAGACTCAGGAGTCCAAAGCTTCAGATTTGGCACAGATGGAAATGTTAGGCTGAATGAACCTGTCTTTACTTGATATACCTCAAGATTTCCTGCCTAGTACATAATACATAATACAAAAGTCTTTTACAATAAACCTTGTTTTATGCAACCCATGATTCTGAAATGCAAAGCACACTTTTGGATACTGAGTTATTTTAAACACATTAGGGAAGTTTACTGTTTAAAGAATTCATGTGGTGAGTCCTTTTATTTGGTTGAATTATATGAAATTGCTGATATTTCAGCATTTTTATTTATGGAAAGGGCAATTTCATGTGATTCAGTGTAATAAAAAGTGAAGACTCATTCTTTCACCTTAAAACAAAGTACATCTATATATAAATAACCTACCTGTTTAGATACATTTAGGCTAACATGCAATATTTTGGAGAGTGGGGGTGAGGGAAGGAATTGCCAAGTCAGCATTTTGGATAGATGGATAAATTCAAATTATGCCCATTGATTGCTCCAGCTGCCTCTTTGAGCGGTAATATATGTTAATTAATACATTGGAGGATATAATAAAATTTAATATAAATGGAAAAATTTTCTTTACAGTTGGTTTGCTATGATGAAAACATTCAGTTTATTTTCCCAAAGATTAAATACCATGTGAGTCACCATAATGACACATCTGCTTACATACATCTCCACTTATGTTATCACTGGAAATCGTCAGGGGTTATGCTGCTATTTTAGTGCAATCTGTGCTGTGTACTTTGGTTAATGCTCGGTGAAGATTTGGATCCCATGGGGTAGTTGTGATGAAAGAGGGTGGTTGTTTTCCAGGTGAGTAACCTAATCATAAATTGGGAATCTTCTTCCAAATCAGAGATTAAGGAGCAGTTTAAACTCCTGAAATCTGTGTTGGAGAGTTCAGGTGGGCAGGGAATAGATTTGCAGTCTGTCTCTTCATCAGATTCAGCAACAAGGCATTGGGTATCTTGCTATTCACTGCTGTTGAAAATGTAATCAGTTCCTTCATTTATCCAGTCACTGACTTCTTAACTGTAAAGTGCATTCAAATACTGTGAGCACAAAAGGCAGAGTGTGGAGTGAGGAGAGATGTGTGTCCTTAAGAAGTTCTGGGGTATATTGGCAGCCTTTGATGAAGTGAGTGTATGGCTGCCAAGAACTAACATTTTAAAAGGTACGTGGAGTCTGGGTGTTGAACAAAGACAACTTAAACCACCAAATGCAATAATATGAATCACTCTGCATTTTGGAAATTATAATACCGAAAGGGGAAGCACATGCCCTATCGAGTCTTAGCCTACCTGCTCATCTCTTCTGAATGGTGCAGAATGCAGCTGCCATCTCTTACAGTGCCTATTGTTAACAGGTGTGCCAGAGTCAGCCTTGCTACTGAGTTAAGCTCTGCATGTGGGGATTTCACACTCTGCAGCCCCTTGGAGAGGGAGTATTGGCAAATGACTGTGTATAAAAGTAGAAAGCACTTGGGAATTTCACCACCATGCTAGATTTAGATCAGAGTAAAGGGGCCAATTTAAATTGGCAACAAACTAGAGAGAGCTGCATGTCTGGTAGAGGTGCCATTAACCTAACATCCATTCCACTTCTTTCTCACTGCCGCTGCAATTCCCGACGGAGCACTTGGTTGAAATTTGATGACCACCTTTTAGGTGCAAGAGAGAACTGATTTTTTTCTAAGCAGGTAGAATTTAACATGGGTGTTTCAGTTCTTTGGTGGCAAGAGTATGACCAGCCTTCTAATTTCTAATTTGTAAACAGTACTCATTTCCTTTGGTTCCCTTTTGGAACGTTAATTATTAAAAAATCAAATTCTTTTTCCACTACTGGCATACTAGGGCTACTTATGAGAATGGAATTTTTCAAAATATATTTCTCTTATAGGTAATAAGTGAAACACTTCATCTTTTGGCAGGGATCAGGAAGGGAGGAACATTTTCTGGGAAAGACAAATGTGACATCTGAGGACACTGATCTCAATAAGGATTTGTTGGAGGGTGTTGTTTAGTCCTTTCCTCCTTTGTCTCTCTTTGTTTTTCTTACACTCAAATCTAAAAGGAGTCTAGTGATGACCAAATAGCCCTCAGATCATTTTTCAGAGAGATAAACCTGCTACCTAGAGGCTTGAGTGTTTTGCCCAAAGGCACAATCATTCAACGAAAGAATACCAAGATTATTTCACTTCTGCTTTAAAGTACAGTTGAGTCTTCTTTGTCGAGGCCATCTTTTTTTTTTTTTTTTGCAGTACGCAGGCCTCTCACTGTTGTAGCCTCTCCCGTTGCGGAGCACAGGCTCCGGATGCGCAGGCTCAGCGGCCATGGCTCACGGGCCCAGCCGCTCTGCGGCATGTGGGATCTTCCCGGACTGGGGCACGAACCCGTGTCCCCTGCATCGGCAGGCGGACTCTCAACCACTGCACCACCAGGTAAGCCCTGCCGAGGCCATCTTTAAACAAAGCTTATATTTGAGTGCAACTCAATCCTGGAGCATGATGGGTAAGGAGAAAAAGGCAAAGAAGCTGCACGTATAATATAAGGTTCATTATCATAAGCACATTTTGACTTAATTTTCCCTTGGTCCGGGGGGAGCTCATTGTTCCAGATTTTTGTAATACATCGGCCATTATCTGAGTTTTTAAAAGTCCAGTAATAGTAATAACACAGATATAAAATGCACATTTTCCCTCTCTAGATGAGTTTGTTGACTAGAAACTTCTTTTTGTAAACTTGCTCTTTAAATTGAAACAGTTTCTTTTAAGAACTCTTCTTTCATTTGGGACAAACCCGATGGCCACAGATGATAAAATCACTGCTCCTTTGGGAAAGGGCTTGTGGTCCCTTCCATTAACCTCCAACATGATTTAACTTCATGTAAGCAGAGGTGATTCTTTAGGGTCCAACTGCTAAATTAAAACTTGTTCCTTTCTTGGGATACCCTCTTTGAACAATTAGCCCTTTCAAAGGCAAATTTTCCTTGTTCTTGGAGCCTCCAGGGTCATGTGTTTTTTACAACAGCTGCATGTGAATTTCTGCAGTCTGAGGTTTGCTCAAGGCCCAGGCGCTCTTTGGTTACCATGGAAACCTCCCTCCCAACCAGCTGCCATTTCCTATATTCCTGGCAAGGAATGAGTCAAACCTCTTAGATATCCCACAAGCAGAGTCAAGATAAAGAATAACAGAGAAAACATGAACAACTTGTTAAGTGAACAACTTGTTGATTCCCTACATGGGAAGCTACATGCAACAAAGTCAGCTTTCCTGGACATCAACATACAAGGGTTCACTGAGATCCTTTAAAGCTCACTTTCTTCCTGACTTTAAGGAGTGGGGATTCGACTCTGCATCTCTACGTCTGTAAATTGAGGAACGCTTTCTGTGCTCTCGGAGGTGATGGGTGAGATGACATGTTTGAGCCGAAGGAGCATTGTGAAGAGCAGGATGAGGAGAATGGCCAGGAGGCTCAGGAATAAGCCCACATACATATACAGGTTGGAATACTTCTCTGAAGTAGTGTCAACCTCTGTTGCCAGGGTAGGGAAATGGGCCCGCCCAGTGAGATTCCCATGGTACTTGAAATGCACCTCCGTCATCACTTAAGACTTGAGTTGGTACCTATTTCTATTTGATTTCTATTGCCCTTGAGGCATTCCACAGTCACTTAGGCTGTCTCTGAATATGCTGGAGGTGTTCTAACAATCTCATACACAAAGCAATCACAACCAGAGCCAAGTCAGCAGTGCACAAGCATCCCCCTCCCAAATAGTTTTTATCAGAACTTCTTAATCATTTTTTTAAAAATATAAATAAAATCTTTTACTTTCCACAGTCCTACTCATATACTGATTAAAAGAAATATGGTGAAACTGCTTTATAATACTGGTATGGAGACAAGAATGAGTATTAAATCGGACTTTTCCTGTCTTTTGGTAGAGGGAGAAAGAGCTCTATTTTATCTACAGCTCATCTAAATGTGTGCATTAATTATGTGAATTTAATTGGATTCTTCTGTGGGGAGACTTTCTAAAAGCTTTTGTATATTTCAGGCTCAGCATTTTCTAAAAGCTTTTGTATATTTCAGGCTCAGCATATCTGAGTTTTTACCCTTCTTGTCTTTCTGAATCCCGCATAGGGATGACACTTGTAAGGTTTCTTTCCAGCTGCCACAGGTTGAGGGTTGGAAGTGTAGAGGATGTGACTTTTCTACAGTTCTGTTGACATCCCTCACTGTAGGCTGGAGGGAAAGTGTTGTCAGACCTGGTAATTCTCAGATGGAGGAGGTCTCAAGAGATGCAGACAGCAGTAGATCTAGGCTCAGAAGATTTGACTCTTAAAATTCTTCAACAGATTTTCCTGAAAATCAAAAACAACAATAAAAGGTTCGGGTGTCTAAGAAAAACAGACGGCAATTTGTTTTGAAATAAAAATTAACTGATATGTTGCAAAATGTTTTGCTATGGGAAAATTAGTCTTAAAATGATACCCTGAATTTTTATCATTTTGAATGCTTTTTTTCCTGAGTGGTAAATACCGATTACAAGGTTAAAGAAAAATTCAGATCAGAGAACAGCAGCTAATAACTAGGTTAGGTTAAGACAGTGTCTCCCAGACTAACTGGTCATAAAATTTACCTGAAGTACTTATTGAAATACAGACCCTGGGCCCCCATCTGGACTTTCTGGATCATAATCTCCACAGGAGGGGGCCTGGTCACCACTCTAGAGAGTCATATTTTATCGGTCTGGGGTGGGGTCCGACCACTGGTATTTTTATTTATTTATTTTTTTTTTTAATTTTTTTTTTCCACTGGTATTTTTAAAAAGCTCCACAAGTGACTGTAAAGTCAGGACTGAGAACCACTGCCCTAGTTTAAGCAGGAAAGCCTAGCACTGAAATAAAGGCCTAAATCTAAGGATTCATTTCTTCAAACCCCAGGTCGCAGTGCCGTGGGTCGCTTTAACAAATCATGGAATTTTCAGGAATGTAGGCTTCCCCCAATTTTCTTTTTGTGTTCTGTCTCTCTCATTTAAGTCTGTGGGGTGAGAATACAGTTTTTTCCCTCAGTATTTGTAGATCAGAAGTAATTGAAAGGGTGTGTTTGTTCTGAGCAAATAACTGCATCATTCATTATTGGTAAAGACAGAACCTTGTCTTTTTTTTTTTTTTTTTTGTGGTACGCGGGCCTCTTACTGTTGTGGCCTCTCCCGTTGCGGAGCACAGGCTCCAGACGCGCAGGCTCAGCTGCCATGGCTCACGAGCCCAGCCGCTCCATGGCATGTGGGATCTTCCCGGACCAGGGCACGAACCCGTGTCCCCTGCATCGGCAGGCGGACTCTCAACCACTGCGCCACCAGGGAAGCCCCAGAACCTTGTCTTTATTCGCAGAAATATTCAAGTGTGTAAATAGGGTCAACTATTTACTGTTGAAGGCTTCCAAAATGATTTAGCTTGTTTTTCAGAACATGAATTTTGAATATGGATGACTATAAAAACAACATAAACCACCATCACCTGTCAAACTTCTATGTGCAGTAGTGTCAGAGAGCTGACAATGTAGCCCAGTTCTGTCGCTTGTTAACATGCCCAAGGAGAGTTAATAGAAACAGCTCCAACAATTACATCACTCTTCCTATAATCTTGAATTGTGTGCCCAGCCTGGGAGCATTTCAGCTTAAAGTTTATGTTCACTAACCTGTGGTACTATACTTTCTGTAATCTGCATGAGCCTTAGCCTACCTATCTAATTCCCCTACCACCCATGTGGTTCTCAAGAAACAAGAGCAAACAAAGAGACAGGGTCTCTTTCTACTGTCTTTGGAGCTATGGTCTAGGAAACATTTTTACAATACTTAAAGGTACATCTATTTTGATTTCTGATTCACTAACAAGTGGAAAAGATAATCACGTAGGTACCCTTTTGTTCTCTAGGAACACCAGCCCCAAAGGCAATGGTTCTCCTGAGTAGCTTGTTACGAATGCCGGTTGCAGGGTCTACTCTTGGGAGCTCCTTCTCCCCAGACCAGTCTATTCTTAGCCTTGCTTGTCCTCCCAAATCCAGTTTTTCTCAAGAGTGTGATGCATGAACCCCCTACCTGATTTAAAATGTAGACTCCTAGGCCCTTCCCCAGGCCTACTGAGTTCTAATATCTTGGATCAAGGCCCAGGAATATGCATTCTAAGCCCAAGATTTTCATGTGATTCTTTGCATGTAGAGCTTTGAGAGTTAACTATCAGTTTCTCTAGATATCCCAGCTAAAGAACATAGCTAATCTTATTGGTTGTTTGGGGACCCTACTTTAAAAAACTATTAAAAGAGTGCCACAGGTTGAATTATGTCCCCCCAAAAGATATGTTGAAGTCCTAACACCCAGTACCTGTGAATGTGTTGTGACCTTATTTGAAAAAAGGGTCTTTGCAGATGTAATCAAGTTAAAATGAGGTCATTAGGTTGGCCCTAATCCAATATGACTGGTGTCCTTATAAGAAGACAGGGACGTTCAGGGGGAAGACAGAGACAGAGATTGGAGTGATGGACCTACAAACCAGGGAATGCCAAGGATTGCCAGTAAACACCAGAAGCCAGAAGAACCAAGGAAGGATTTTACCCTACAGATTGCAAAGGGAGCATGACCAAGCTGATGCCTTGATTTCAGACTTCTAGCCTCCAGACCTAAGAGAATAAATTTCTGTTTTAAGCCACCCAGTTTGTGGTACTCTGTTTATGGCAGTCCTAGGAACCGAATACACAGAGTAATCACCCTGAGGCCCTAGGGTTTTGGAACCCTTGGGGCAATGTTTCTGAAGGAAGTCCCTGGAATATTTGTATTACAAATGCAGGTTTCTGGGCCTTTCTCCTTGCTTCCTAGATCAGAATCTCTCGGGATAGGACCCTGAAGTCTACATTTGTGACAAGCTACCCATTTAGAGTTTCTAAGTACACTCTGCAAGGAATGGTTCCCAGTCCCTGTTGCCCTCAGGATCACTTACGAAACCTTTTGAAAATATGTATACCTGGGTTCTTCCTTCAGAGGTTCTGATTCAGTAGGTTTGTGTGGGGCACGAACGGCTGTAGTGCCTAAAGTTCCGCAGGTGATTTCGATATGTGACCTGGGCTGAGAAGCACCACTCTACAAATAGAACAGAGCGTCGCAGAGTCAGGACTCTGACAGTCCCGGGCCACCCACATAGAGGCATTACTTTTTCACCTGGCCTCCAGAAGACAAGTCGAAGGAAAATAAACACTCACTGCTAGTGCAATCCAAGTGTGAAAAGCCTCAACAGTAGTATAGTATCTTTTTAGTCTCCTGTGGACCTCCAAATATACAGATTTGGGTAAGTCAGGCTTCTTGGTTAGGCACATTGTCATCATCAGTGCATCCAGGGTCCCTTTTATTTGTTTACTCAGTAACACCCATGGACAAACACCTGTAAACAAACACCTACCAACTGTAAGATTGAGAATAACTAATAATTTACATGACATCTACCTATGCTCCTCCCTATCTCATCCCACACCTCCCCAGAAATTATCAGTATTCTGAATTTTGTTAGTCATTACCTTGTTTTTATTTACACACACACACCTGTGCCTAAACACTATGTTGTTTATTTTTGTTTTGAACTTTATAAAAAAATTGTCAAGCTATATGTCATCTTCGATTTGCTCTTTTTACTCTACAGTCCATTACTATATGATTTATGTATAATTAATCTTACAGGATGAAAAAGGAATAAAGATTTGGTAGCCCATATTGCCTTTGAGAGTCCTTAACTGTCTTTGGACTTTACTCCATTCTCCTTAGCTTGGCGTTCAAGGCTGTCAATGTCCTAGCCCTGGCTGACTTCAATTCCTTCCACTACCCTCCTTTCCAATCAAGCTGTAATGCTCACTGTCACCTACTTCCCCGCCTCCATGTTTTTGTTTGATCAGTTTCTTCCATCTTTGCATATCTCTGCTTGGGGAAATGCTAGCATTCTTCATAGTTCCGCTCATGAAACTGACCTTGATTTCTCATCCAAATCCTAACTCCCACAGGCTTTCTCTCCTAGAGAAATTACATTCACCTAATACTGTAAGTATCTATTTGCTGTATTTTCCCCCAAATTGTAATTTATAAACCCCTTGAGGATCTTTTTCAACCTTCTGTCCCTTATACAGCTGTGCTCGCAATAGCTGCTCAATAATTGTTGAACAAATGCATGGGTATGACTGAAGAAATGTACTTAGCACTGACAATTTAGAGAGAAGCACAGTGTTATCTCTGTTCTGATAGCTAATATAGCTTGGGGAAGCACCTGAAACTCCCTTTTATTTTTATTCCCTTCCCCCACTCCCCTATCTCTTATTGTGCAAACGAGACTAAATTCCTGATTATCTTCTGGAATTAAGGAATAATCACTTTGTGGGAATTCCCTGGTGGTCCAGTGGTTAGGACTCAGTGCTCTCACTGCTGTGGGCCCGGGGTTCAATCCCTGGTGGGGGAACTAAGATCCCACAAATTGAACAGCACAGCACAGCCAAAAAAATTTTTTTAAAAAAGGAATAGTCGCTTTGTTAGAAACTTTGCTCTTGAATTACTATTTCAGTTGCATGATTTTAAAGGAAAACTACACGGAATGGGTTTACAGCCTTAAGTTTTAGAAAGTTCAATTGTGTCTATAAATGCTTTTCAGTAACAATAATACTGCCTCCTACACAATCGACCCTTAATCTTCCTTAAGGTCAAAATACTTATTAAATATATATTAGAATTCTATGAAGCTTGGAGAAGCTTTAGAGAACAATGATCTCACGTACAGTTGTCAACTTCTTTAAACATTTCATTTGAGGGTTTGGAAAACTAACTAGCCATGTATTTCTTAAAACCTCTGCAGTCTGCAGAACACCAAACATCCTGTTCAATGCAGACAGGTCTATCAATTTAATTCCTTAAATCTTAAGGACTTTGAAATGAGTAAACGAAAAGTTAGATACTGGGGAGTCCTCTTTGTTAATCTGCTCCTGCATCTGTGACAACTTCTCATAAAAGCTTTCGGAACAGGATTGCCA